CAATACCCTCGGTTGTTCATGTCCGTCCCACGTTACCCACCTTACTTATTCTGTCCCACACACATCTGCTTTCCCCACTGGTGACCCTTCCACTTCCTTCGTACTAGGTTTTTTACCCCAGGAATTTGGTTTACTCTTTCTCAAACACACGCACACGTATGCAAACACTAAATCTGGACCCCTGCATCTCGACGTAACACAGTCGGTATTCAAACGAGGGGGGCGGAGGGGGGCTCCAACACCAGCTCCAGATGTTGTAAAAAGCATTACACACTTAGCTACTCATCACAATTGTGCAGTCACTTACAAATCGAATGCATGTAACCTCATATTTCATCTGACGTCGACAGCAAACAATTTGTCAGTGGCGTCGGAGGGTGAAGGTGGAACAAATGGAAGAACGTGGCGCTTGATCGACGGGCGACGACCTCACATTTATCTGGCCCATCCCAGTCGCCCGGTTGACAGGCGGAAATGGCGCTGGATGGATCACACGGGCCGAGGCGCTGACGGCCTCCGGGCGACTCCGGTGCCATGTGCTGTTACATTCGAGCCGACAGGACACATCTTTTCCTCATGTATCCCGCCCAGCGCGAGTGAGGGAAACGAGGGAGGGACGTCAGGCGGCCTGACATGGTCCGTCATCCCGTTGTTATAAAGTAACGGCAGACGCGATTGTGCTTTGAGAGTCCGGCGCCACAAAGGTATCTAAACAAATGAGAACTAACATTTGTACAACATCTGCAAAGAGATGGATGAATAATTGAGAACAAATTGTGGGATTATTTACCGCTGATGTTTCTAACCTTGTCTTGCCCCTGAAGACATCCCTTCTGTTGACATCTCTCTATCTCACAGATCCACAAGCTTTACTATTTGTGTTTATTCAATTCTGACCCAATGACCTCCAGCCATGACCCTTCAAAGCGGTGCTCCGCCGTGAGGTTTTCCCACGCGGATCTCCTTCACTCCCGTGCACATGTTTGAGTGTCTACAAATTCTCTGCAGGAGGATTTTGTGCTTCTTGTATGTATTTCATCTCCACGTTTGACTTGTTTAGTCTCTGCTGGTGTTTAAATGGAGTTTGTTGAGGCCTCGCCACCTGCGACACACATGTGTAACTCCCACAGCTGACGAACTTACACACACGCACACAATGAGCAGGACATAATATAATGTGTATCTTCACACAAAGTGTAAGATTCTTCATGGTGAGAAGACACATGTGCAATCAGAGACCTCCTCCACAAACTCTGACTGTTTTAACAGATGTGTGTGTGTCTGCGTGTGTGCGCTCTACAGGGAGCTGACTATCCCCAGCGGGCCTCTGTAAACCCTGCACATGATGCAGTGAGGTGTATTACAACTTAAAAGTGCTGTTCACCTGTTACGTTTCAAAGCTCTTGGAAATACACATTTTAAAAGGTCAAACTAATAACGGACAGTTTAAAGAGAAACAATGATATCGCCCCTGAGATTTGTTCTCTTTGCCGCGGTTTCTCTTTCTCACACACTTAATATCCATCTTTCACTTTGCTTTCTTTCTAGCACACACATTCTTCTCACACACCGTGATGTACTTGACAACCAGAATACGCAGCAGAACCGAACAGAGCCTCAGCAAAAGACCACAGTATGTTTTTGTGTGTGGTAAAAAAAACGCTCCCTCAACCAGCAGAGAGGAAAAATTCCAACCAGGGACACAAAATTCCCCAATACAGCTACTTCCATAACTAAGCCAGGAGATGTCTGCTTCCATGGGGATGTGGAATAAACATCTGATATTGATAACATCTGCCTCTCTGCCCATTAATAGAGGAATAAAATGCTCATCAGAATAGCTTGGAGTGAAACGGGATGAAAAATTCTAACATCTCAGGACTTTTGATCAATAATGGAAATGCATGCTGTTTGCAAGTGTGAGTGCCTGCGAGTTGAAAAAAAAGGGTTCCTGTGGGAAAGTGACACCTGACCCATTACCTTGAGCTTCAATGACACACCTGTGTGTGAGTGTGTATTTTACCTCATCAGGTCGAGTCCAGGTTTGTTTTGAGGAGCCCACTTTGTTTTACAGGCTTTCACTTTCAACGTACCATTAATCCTTCACTGTGATACTCATAAGTCATGTCAAAGGCACACAGCTTCCTTTTTTTTCACAGAATTGTTTTCAAGGAAAAAGTGCACAGTCTCACATGCTGCTTTTCCAGCAATCAGCTTATATCAACTCCACGTATTGCAAAAAGTGCACAGTGGGGACGCTGGCTAATGGATAATACGTCTGGTTGGACAGGAACGGCAGTCAGGGCAATATGCTTGATGTGACCTTAAACTCAGGGGTTTTATATTAAAAGTTAGTGATGTTCTCAGTGACAGCAGCATTTCCACTACAACAAAACAGCTTTGGGCTATTACAAGCCCCCAAGTGAACAGGCTTATATGCCGCTGTGTGATGCGCAGTAGCTCTTTGTCAACAGTAATGACCTGAACATTGGATTTATATCAACCCGACATGGCTCCACTGTATTTGTGCCGGAGAGCTTTGTGAAGAAATGAGCAAAATAGAGAGAATTGCTGTCTGGTCATGATTGATTTCTGACAATGAGTTAGAAATGGTGGACGAGAGGCAGTAAAATTGAAAAAAAAACATACAGGCGGGGTCCTATTACCCAGGGAACACACACACACACACACACACACGAAACCCCGGAAAATCTATTCCCCAAATGTTTAAGTGATTACAGCAGAAAAGGCTTCATGTTTACTACCTATGTTTCTGCTGTGAGCTTGTTTATGTGGCTGTAAATGTGTGTGTGTGTGTGTGTGTAGTCTATGAAGTGTGTCCTTATGCCCCTTAGACTGAAATAATCCTATTGGTTTAACAGCGAGGAGGGACGGAGAAAAAGAAAACCAACTGTGGCAAATTCCCGTGTTTTGGTGACACACAATTTGAGTTCATTGCCGTATTATGGGAGCACAGCAGTACTAGCGAACCTCTTCAACAAGTCTCCCACTCTGTGACGCCGCTACCTGAACACCTTTAGCTTACCCCCCCACGTCCCTGCCCCACGGAGGGGGACGGGGACGGGGGGCACTTCCTGAATCTTCAAGGATGTTATTGGCTTCCCTCGGCCCATAAGCCGACTGCTCTCCATCTTTCTTTCCTGCCTTTTCACGAGGACGAAAATATGAGAAGAAACGCGCTGCTGTCAGCGAGTCTCGCTGAAACGTTTCACGGCAAACTGAGTTGACTGTTAGACAACCGTAAAAAAACATACATGTACAGTATATTCGTTTTAGCTCAGGTTAATCGTCTGGGTGATTAATGGTTGCTTCGCTGGTCAGTTTGTTTCCCCCTCTGCTGCCGTGGTGGTGATTACATTGCGCTGATTGCCAGCCGCATGCATGAATGACTGCTACACACCAGAGGCAATGTGCTGCATCAGCGCGCCGCGTCAAGACCGGGTCTTCTGATCTGTGGTGCAACACGGGACAGCAAACGGAGTGAAGCAGACGCTCGAGGTACCGATCGAGGGAGCGGGGCCAGTTTCAGAGCAACGGCTCAAACAAAAGATGGTTTATGGTCAGTCAAAATCTAAATATGTATTTGCTTCATTAGTCACTGAAGAAAGAGAAACAAGAGACTTATTAACATTTCCTGGACCTTCTCTGGGCCAATCCGACCCCACCAGGTGCTTTGACTTTATTCCACAGGTCGCAAAGCCTTAGCTGAACAAAGAAACACACACACACACACATACACATTTTAGATTTAACTGATTGGCCCCGTCACCGCTCTAAATTGTGTCTGAGTGCCGCTCACATATGGGCAGGGTGAACCTAAGTGGAAACACATGTCTGTGTAAATGCAGAAAGCAGGAGTTGAGCCTCTAACACGGGCCACGTGAAGCCAAAGTCCATCAGATCTTTGTGTTCCAGGGGAGGCAGAGCGGACGGAAACATATCCTGTTTTCCATTTCTACATGGAATAACATAACAGCGAATTATTTAAAATGAAATGTATCCAATGACTATTGGGCATTACGCAACCAACTGTGACCACTGTGTGTAAATAAACACAGGAAGACGAGATGTGAGTGGCCTGCAAGACAACATTCCCTCTGGAATATCATCAGGCGTTCAGAAAGGGCCGTCATTCATACGTATCTTTTTACAATTTCCGTGGATTTCCGGTCCTGCAGTGTCACTGCGTGCCGGATTCCTGACCTCTGACTGGTCCCGACCTCTGACCTCTAGCACCCTCTTTGACCTTTAACGCAACATCTGTGTTGCTTTCAGTTAGCTGAAATGTTCTTCCCTCGGGACACGCGCGTTAATAAGCAGACATGGGCGGCTGCAGAACCGGATGGAAACGATGCCTGGCATCCTATAATCTAATCCTATCATCAAGAGAACAGGTCTGAGGTGAATGTCTGAGCTGAGGAGAATCTGCTGAAAGCAATGACTCAGTATCTGCAATCTGTTCGCTAGGTAGCACTTTATAAGCTCTTATGGCACTTATTTGTAGCACTTTCCGTGGTTCTTTGGTTTGATTTCACTTGTAATTCGCTTTGGATAAAAGCATCAGCTCAATCAAAAAAGCGTTCAGTATTCTTAACTCTTGACAAAGAGGTTGCTGAATGTCTGAGTGCTTTGTCTAGTTCTTTGGGCTCGTCCTCTTTACGATTTCCAGGGTCCTCTTTAATCTTAAACTGGATCTATTGATGTGTAGGAGTGATGATTGGTCAAAACACATCATTTCCATACCGGCTTGGGAAGTTGTGATCCCCTGTCGAGACTTCAAATGTCTATCTGACAGACGGGTCTGAGTAGAGCTTCCATGGGGACGAGAACTGGCCTCCTCAAAGAGGTGCATCATAAGAACCTTGCTAGATTAATACTCATGGATCCACCTACGAAAATCTAAATGTTGAGTCAACAGCAGCATGACAGAGTACACAGTTCACTCGTGTCTCTGCTGCGTTGGTGGAGCACCAGCTTACCTTCTTCGCAGCCTTCGACGGAGACCTCCTGGTGGGCTTCTGCACCTGGCCGCTGGGCGTGACCAGCTGCTTGGACACCGAGCCGTTCTCTCGTTTCTTGCCGGGCGGTGACGGGTCCGATGGCGGGGGAGGTGAGGGAGAGGCCGGGGGAGAGGATGGGGAGGATGAAGGAGGGTGTCCGGCCATGAGGACGGCCATCTCCTCCGTGGCTGTGAGGCGGAGGCTGCGCAGACTGTCGTGCGTCTCCTGATCCACCACCAGCAACCTGGTCTCGTTGTCTACGGCTTTGATCCGCTGCACCACCTGAGGGACGGGACGGGACGGCCACATACCGGTCATTTTGTTTTGAAATGGAATGCAGGGAATGGTCAATGCTGCAGAGAACCGACAGCCACAGTCCCTGTGAAAGCATCCAGTCAGTGCTACAGAACATCTTTCCAAAGTCTTTAATATTCACACTTTTCTTCATCGTGTGGGTGTTAGAAATACAAGCATATAGACCGAAATATCAGATGTGATGGAGATTCACTTTCCAAGCAAAAAGCCCAACATTTGACGGTTTCAGCCTCTTAAATCTGGGGATTTTTTAGTTGCATATTGTCTTAGCATGAAAGAAAATGAACATTTCATGGTTTCTGTATCACTTTAAGTGTAAAATATGCTCAGAATAGATCCGCTGGGCTCTCTATGACAATTCATGGCAAACATCATTATCTGACAAATCTAAAGCAGTTTATTATTGAATTATCTTTTGTTTTGAATTAAAAAGCAACAATAACGAGCGGTTATTGGTGCTGGTGTTGTTATTTTTTTGTGAGCATGGGGAATTATTATCTGCTGTATCTGCCAAACAGCTGTCTCAGTCTCGTTTGTCAGCGCATAAATACTCACTGGAAATTGTTTATGTCTCAGTACCACTATTGCAACACTGCGTTTTTATTCAAAGCAACGCGTGCTTTCATGTGGGTAAAATTCAAGCATCCCCCCCCCCCCTCCCCTGCGCGCGGAGGGAGGAATGTGTGCTTGGCTGAAAACGTGCCAGTGCCAGGACGCACGCACCATTCCGTGTGGCCCGTTATTATTGACCTGACCCATCACTGCACAGACGTGCAGCTAGACTTAAAACCACAACAATGAATGCACACCCACTCACCTGGTGGTGTGTTTCTTTCTCCACGTTGACCCCATTCACTGCAACCACGCGGTCCCCGGCGCGCAGCCCCGCCGCTTCTGCAGGGGAGCCGCTCTCCACCTTTCGGATGTATTGTCCGCTCTTCCCTTTCTCGCCATGCAAGTGAAATCCATACCCGTCCTCAGCTTTTGTCATGACACAAAGCCGCGGCTTCCGCTCGCTGGCCATGTCTTCTCTGGCGGGTTAAGCCTCCTGCAGTATTCGGTTTGTGTAACGAGGAAAATAGCAAAGATGAGCGTCTAGGAGAGCGCGGCTTAAACTTTCACGGAGCGAAAACAGATCTTTCCGATGCGCATGCTTCCCCCATGATAAAGAAAGACGGAAACGATATGCAAAAACTCCAAATGCACGTAAAAAGAATACACCGCACTGTTATAAATGCATGCAACCCCCCCTGCGACCTTTAAGAAAACAGCGCGACTGGTGCTCCGGATCGTGTGTCCGACTGAAGCGCACTGCTGGCGACTCCAAAAGTGATCCGTCGTAGCGCGCGCGCGCAGACTTCACAACTTCCAGAGGAGCATCCCCGATATTCACTGCAGACGTGTTTTGAGTTGAGAGGTTCTTTCTTCAAATGTATCCATAACAACTGCTCCGACAATATGCCTGCAGGTTCTAACGTAGAGAGCGCAGGGTTTGCGCCTTGTGCGCTGTAGCACCACCTCCCGCTGGCTCGGTTTTCTATTCGTTTCTCTAAAGGAAAGTGAAACGTTCAGGACAGAGGGTGCAAAGCTATACAATGCTGCCCCTAGGTGGCGGTCCTCGGACCGGGGTCAGGCATTTGATTACTTCCCATCATAAATTGAAATGGTTAGGTTCAAACAATACACTCTCTGATAGTGGGGACTGCTTGTAAGGGGAATTAATGGGACGAGGAGAATTTTGCTGTGCTGAAGACACAAAAAACAACTGCGGTCAATTTAGCAGACACTTTGAGTAAACCTATATGCTGTAGTTTACGGTAAACACAATCAAACGGTCCTTATCAGGAGTGAGCGGAGAAAAGTTAAGGTGTAAAACACACATCAAATGTCTGGACACATCTAGACAGAAAATATAACATTCTACTATACCAATTCAGATATTTTACAATGTAAAATGTCTCTATTCCAACAGAGTCAAAACTTATTTCCACATTATTTATTTCGTGGAAACCAACTTTGTTAAGATTCTTATTTTGAAAACCGGATGGAATGCGTTTACCGTGAGCGTCAGAATAGAGGTGCACTAAAATTCACTTTTGTGCTGAGTTAACCGCATAGTCTCACAAACAGGTGAGTACAACAACACACTTATTGAACGACAACAACCGCGTTTTTTCCTCCAATAGTTGTATGCTGCCAATGTGGGCTTTATTTTGTTGTATCTCTACGTTGATTGTTGTTAGTGGTGCTTTTAAAATACTGGTTATTCGATTACGCCATTTAACGCACGTGGACTTAATATTGCTTGTTTGTTGTTAATTTTTGTTTATTGTTTGTTTAAGTTGTGTGTCCTTTGTGGTTCATTGTAATCGCTGGTTGTGTATTTACGAAAATCCAAATGCGTCTGGGGTTGTCGTCCTTAACGACAGTTGTTGAAAAAAAGTGGAACAATGTTTTATTTTATTCGGGTGAAAACTGTTTTGTAAAAATGTAATTTAAAGTTTTATTCAGACTGAAGGAAATGATGATGCATTTTCTAAATGTGACCACCAGAGGGCAGTAAACACTTCTGTATTTATTGTATTTTCTCTTCGGTCAACTTTGCCTTCCTCTAGCTTCGAGGCAGACAGCCTGCTGACACTTCCTGTCAAAACGGTCAAAATTAAAACGTATTGTATCAAACTGACATAAATGAGATAAACTGGTCCAGAAGCAAGTTCTTGGGACACATTATATGTTGTGCTATTGGTTGGGTACAACATGTCTAAAAGAATATATGAACAGTAAAATGGCTGCTAATGAATACCTTAATAGATACAGTACCTACAATCAACCATTCTGGTATATTCCCATTATGCTATTTCACATATTTGTTTGAAATGTTGTTGTCCACAATGTGGAAAATGATCTTTTAAAAAATATTGAGTGACACCGAACAAGACACGTGAAGACGGATATAAAAATAAACTGTAGAGTGCAACATAATCATCATCCTCTGTTAAAAATCTCTTGCTCCATTTCCCCGCTCATCTCCCATTTTCTTATCACATCACATTATATCACAGCTGCTCCAATGGAGATTGTATAATGTGGTGACACTTGGACCTTTTTCTGTTTATATGTAATAATGGACGCACACACACACCCACACACACACACGCATGCACATACACACAAGCCATGTTAACAGCCCCAATGAGGTGTTTTGATTAAAGAAGACAGTGGCTGCCATCAGGGTAACATCCCCGGAGGACAGTCCAAGTTTAGTTTTCACTTAAATGCCTCCAAGAGTTGACAAACACACGACACATAAAACCTACGCAACACATTTTCTACACTCTTTTCGGACATGTTTAGTTACTTTATATTTATGTATTCTGTAGCTACCTGTCGTTAACGCTTTGGTAACCCTTTTTCGATGTTATGTTCATCCACAAATACAGGCTCTTGGGGATTGCAGGATTGATTTATAGGCATCTATTGCAGTCTTAATGGAGGCGAATCTGATCACGGATATCTAACATCTATTAAGTGTTTGCGTATTTATCAGGCCTGCCAGCGCTGCGTGTGGTTTTCTTGAGATTGCCATCAAAATCAGATGAGGAAACTTGGAGAGGGGTCAAGTGCTTATGAAGCGTAGACATCCTGAATGCATCTGGTCTGGTTTACTGAAGGAGTTATCTTGTTATACACTATTGAAGTGGTTCGAGACATCCTGCCTCTCCCAGGCAGAGGGAGGGAGAAACACAGTGTGCTGCTGAAGGTCACCGCTCTCAGCTTGAATTAACCACACAGGGCTCCTTCTGATTCCCTTCGCGCTCCTCTACCTGCCGACACATGCAGCTAAAAGACGCCACAAACTGCAACAACGGCGCTGCTTATTTTTGTTGTTTTACTGCAACGCAGATGAAAAATAAAGCCGAGCTCCAGCGGGTTTGAAGGATATCTTAGATTTTTGACTTGTGGTTTGCAATGTGTTCTGGTGTTTTTTTTTGTTTTTTACATGTTTTTTCCACTTTTACAGCAGCTTCTTTTGTAAAATCCCACCCGCCAAAAAGAAAATAGAGCCAACAGCCAAATACTTACCACTAAAGTACAATTGGGACCGATTGGAATGTCCTAAGTCTACGCGGGTCTTATTTTGGGGGGGATTTCGAAACAACTGTTTAGATTCATGGTCAGCAAAACCGTATCATCTAGCACCTGGCACTCAGCTTTTATTGTAACCCGATCTGAGAAGAATATTAGGCGCTGATTATTTAAATTTGAGTACAATCCAGCCGTCTTTCTCCAGTTGTAACTGACGAAGAAAGAAATCCCTTTCAATCACATTTAAATATACTTTTGCAGTTATTCTTTTGGGGGTTAATATTTTTTTTTGTTTTATCTTTTGAGTTAAGTTTCAAATTCAACACAAATAGAAAGTGACCAAAAGATGTGACACTGTGCCTCAGTGACCCCCACCTCGCGGGTCGAGAGTCTCCCACAAAGACACCCGTCAACAACTGGAGTAACTCTTTTGTGATTTAGTCTCCAAAAACATAAACAAAAGCTCTCCAGAGCATTAGTGAGCATATACAGTATATTTACCCCTTGAACTTACACTAGCCAATCATAGCGCAGCATCGGGCCTTTAAGGCTGACAAATCTATGGCTTTAAAACCTCTGAAGTTTGTCTGTTAAATATACTGAATCCTATCTCGATGTTTCATGTATGTTTGTTTATATGTATATGTATAGGGGTTATTTCACTCGATCGAGTTCTTCGAAAAATGTGAGCGTGTCATCAACGATTTTTCTTAGAATCTCAGAGATGCAAAACCAAAATCTGTTGTAGTGCGATGTGCTCTTTTCCATGCTCCATAATCATACTGTTTCTTTCCTGCAGAAGGCACAGAGTGTGTTCCCACCCCCACACAGACACAAAAACAGGTTGTCAGTAAATAGACATCATACAGGCTGCAACAGTGCGGTAAATGTTATAGAAGTACACAATCTAAAGGAAGGAGAGAAGGGCTGATTTTAGGAGCAGCAAAAATGAGAGATTTCGAGACTGTTCTAAGCTTCACAGAATCAAAACCTGTCTGTGACAAACGGCCTAACAACTTCATATTGTCAGTGCTCCCGTTTTGAGCCTGCATCAGATAATCACAGAGGTTTAAATAAGCAATACACACACACACACACACACACACACACAGTACCAGTGAAGTTGGGACATATTTTTAAATGAGAAAGAGTCTAAACTTTTGACTGGTACTGTATGTATACATATCATTTGAAATAATTGCACAACACATTGTGTTTTATTTAGTTGCATTTATTAAAGAAACTGTGAAACAAGACCCCACCACCATTAATAACAAACAACCAGTCGGCTCACAGGGAAGCTCTGAACTGCCTCCCTTCGTTTAACCTGACATCGGATATGTATGTAAATGTGTTTTTGAGGAAAGCCATCTGGTCCCATACACCTGACCTGGAATAAAAAAAATATGACTTTCTTCTGCACTGCTATTGCGTTAAGAATACACAAACTTGTTGACAATGAATTAAATTAAACTGAAGCAAGATTACCATCCGAGCATAAAGCTGCCGATCTGCTCTGTTTCAACTGGAAAAAGCAATAAAGTTATTCAGGCGAAAACAGGCGCATGACCGCAGGACATGTCGGCAGCCCTCGGCCGCGCTGTGTTGAATTAATTAAGGTGAACATGCAAAAAGGACCCGATCGTTTATTCATATTCATGATGTAACAGAAGGACTAAGTTAGGATTTTTTTATAGGGCTGTCATGGAATTCAAGATACCAAAGTTAAAATGACCTTTAATGTGAAGTTTTTAACCCCTTTGAATGCACACAGAAATGTCTGCTTTAAGGAATCCTTGTTTCCTCAGCTCCATTTTAGGGGGTAGTTTTTAATACCAGCGCACACTCACCATGAACACCGTTCACATGGTCTCGCTTGGTTCTATTAATAACTATGGAGATGCCAGTGTTGCCAGCAACTTCCCTAAAATGTTGGCATCGAATGAAAGCTCATAGTCCAGCATGATAAACGGTGGCTTACCTTCACCGTGGAATCCACCTTGTTTTCCACATTTGAGAGACAAGAGATGAATGCTTGGCTGAGCTACCTTTAGGCCTTTTTCACAGCTTTGTAACATTGAAGTTAAGGTGTTGCAAAAAGCCAAACTAACAGACAAACAAGCCAAAAGAAATATGATTGTCATAAAAAAAACAACACTTAGAACGTTTACAATCAACCGACAGACACAAACTAAATACTGCAAGTTCAAAATAAAGAGAGACCAGCGGTTTAGTTTCAAATGACGGCACACAAAACGGCCTGAGGGAAAAAGAATCACTGACCCAACTGCAATGACCTGTATGAACATGGCTCACATGACACATAACCTTCACTTCCACAGAACTCATTTTACAGATTGACTTCTTAAACGGAACGTTTTTTAGGACGCTTAGATCAACACCCTCCTCTGTAGTGTCCTAAGTCACAGTGAAATGGCGGTCCTGGGCTGTTAGGCTCAGTGACATTTGCTCTGCTCGTGCGTTTAGTTATATGACAGAAGTATTAAACATTACAACTTTATTATTAAACATTATAGCTAAAACAATAAAGAAAAATCCACGGTTTTACAGAGGGTGGGTCAGACTTTCTGACTGTAGCTTAGAAGCCTGTTAAATAGGCAGAGATGAAAGTGGTATCTTTCTTGTCATGTAACTCCAGCTGGATGTTCCGAAGCGAAATTTCCAAAAATGATACTGCTGGTTTCCCTCATTGTTTATCCGAGTCTTTCATTGAGTAGGACAACTCAAAAGTTCCTGCTCACATAGGTCTCAGTGCTGTGCAACGTACATTATATACTGAATTAATCAAAATAACGATATAGATGAATAAAAGCAAAAAGCATTGACAGCAAATAAAAGAAAAGCACACGAGAAAACAAGGGTTTTCTTACTTAAATATGATCAAATATAAAACTGAAAAAAAACATCTTTATATAAAGTAATGGTTTGTACAATGCACAACGACATGAGGGACCAACAGAAACGCTGAGATCTGGGATGAAGGCTGGTCCACTCCTCAAATGTCAGTCAGTGAGAGAAGATCGGCCATGAAGACAGGAAATACCAATGCAAGTTCCAGAAATAAATCACCCCGGTCCCATCATGCTGTGCTCTAATACATGGGGGAACTCATGGCTGACCAATCAACTCAGTCTTCTGAAGCTCAAGGTCCCCAATAACTTCCATCTGGACAGGCTCCTGAAACAAAAACAACAGCGACACAGAGATTAGGCAAACAACAAGACTGCATGACAGACTTTGACCCAAGATATCGTTCATCAAAAGAGAGTTGAAATGATTCCTGTCTGTTAAATAAATATCAGACATTAAGGACACTTCCAAAGTATAAATATAAGTATAAACAGTTATTCTTAGGACTGTACAAATTGATGAGTGGCAAACGGACCACTTTACGCACAGCTATGCTGAGCTAGCTGCTGGGCTACTTCCATCTCAACATCTACCCTGCGCGGCACACTGTTTGCAGAGGACCACCACTGTTGACCTAGTTTGGAAAACAACTTGGATAAATGTGGGGAGATGGTTGGCACTTTAAACACAGCCGTCAGATGATGGAGAGTTGAGAGCAAAGTGCACGAGGACAGCAGGACGAGTCGCTGGTTCAACATGTTCCACCCGGTGGGATTCTGCCTCCAAGATGATCAAATGTTTGTAGTTTTGTGCTTAAAATACACACTTTCTAAAGTGATTACTCATTACTTGTAAGAATTAGTCCGTAGAAGAAAAATCGCAATTAATACATTTCAAAATGTGCGATTAATCAGTTAATTTTTCTATCTATCGACAGCCTTAGTTATGCTTAAGACTTTCAATAAGATAATTAAAATGTTAAATTTATTTAGAGCACAGTATGTCTCTCGCTGTTCCACCTTCCTTCAGCACACCTGCTAAAAAAGGCGATAATAAAGACGGGTGTTTGTCTTTCCTGCATCCAACTCTCCCCCAATTGGCATTTGTGTGCAACGCCTTTCTTACTTACTTTTTTTTGTCAGTTGGACGTTATGTATTCCCTACTTACTGCAATGTAAACACATCTGCATGACTATGATAAAATCCACAAGTAACGTTGTATATCATGTGAGATAGGCTGCTTATAGTGGGTGGAGAAGGGGGAGGAGGCCGGGAGGGGATCGGCCAAACAAACACAGGACTTTTAGCCAACAGAATGGTGATCAAGACCGGTGCTTTCTGAAGTTACTATAGTGGGCTTTTGTTGCGTGTTATCTGTACTAACGTGACAATCATTATTTAGGTATTCTTCTTAAATCACATGGTTGTCAAGTTGTGTCATTAAAAACAAGTTTGTGTTGCTTATCCAGAATCACATGATAACATGAATATTATTTGCACAATACCTGAATGCTCTCCATATTTCCATTCTGGGTGTAATTTCGGAGTGGGAGAGCAGCAATGTTGTTTTCCTTGGATGATGTCTTTCTACCGTCCATCTGGCCTGTGGTGCAAGAGCCCTTTGGTTTTTGTAAGCAAAGCACCTTCTGGAAGCTCTGCTTGAAGTTTTCAGAGAGGAAGCCATAGAGGATGGGGTTGGCGCAGGAGTTGACGTAGGTGAGGATGACCAGGAAGAAGTAGACCGCAGCGTTGTTCTCAGGGATGATATAAACTAGGTTGACGAGGTTGGTGGTGAAGAAGGGCAGCCAACAGAGTACAAACACCATCACGATGATCACCACCATGCGCGTCACCTTCCGCTCCGACTTCCGCCGCTTAGTCAGGCCCGCACGCACGCCTGCCGACCTCACCTGAAATGCAGATGGTCATTTGAAAAGGTTTTGGATTTGATTTTGGGAGCAGAAACTTCCATTTTTTTTAAATTAGACACCAATCAATAAAATAGAGTCTGCATTACCTTGATGACAATAAGCAGGTAGCAGAGGCAGATGACAACCAGAGGACCAAAGAAGCCCAATATGGAGGTATAGAGGATGAAGATGATGGACTGCAATTCATGTGGCTCAGGCCATGTTATGTTGCAGGCATTGAACTCCTCTTGTACATTTGAGTAGATTGTAACCGGCAGCACAATTAAAAAGGACACAACCCACACAACGGCATTAAAAATCTTGGCCACCTGTGGCTTCCTCCACTTAGCACTGCGCATAGGATGAACCACAGCCAGGTAGCGATCAATGCTCATCACTGTGAGGCAAAAGGTGGAGGTGAACTGGCTCATGGCATCAGCAGTCATGTACACCTTGCAGAGGAAATCCCCGTACGGCCAGTAGGAAAGCACACTATTAGTGCCTAGAAAGGGAATTCCCAGAATGTATAGTTCATCTGCCAAGGCTAAATTAAGGATGTACAAGTTGGTAACAGTCTTCATCTTGGTGTAGCGGATGACCACATAGATGACGAGTGTGTTACCCAGAAGACCCACAATGAAGACGATGATGTAGACTACCGCGGTGATGATATTGAAGGGCATTAGCGCCGTGTCCCAGTTACTGTTCTGGGTGGAGTTGGAGGAGGACCAGTTGGCGTTATTGGGTATCACCGTCCAATTGTAGGAGCCATCCATATTGAAGGAGGGAGTGCTGGTATTTGGTGTCTGTTTGGATCACAGTAAAGAAACAACATGGACACAAATTTACAATCACATAACAATTTGTCCTTCAAACAAAAACATACTGGTAGTTTATTGTTGTGGGTGTTCTACGGCTTGTGACCTTTAGTTTTTTGTGGTAAGACTACTCGTTTGCACCAATAATTGGGTAGTGGGCATTCTGGGCAAGATGCCTTTGTATAGTAGACGAGACGAACTTTCCACCTAATTGCCTTGGCCAATGGCCATTTTACTATTTCTCTTACTCGGGAGTTGCACTTAAGAAGATGACGTTGAGCGTGCTCCAATACTGTCACTGCAGTTAAATGAAAGCATTCAGCCGAGTGGCCGAGCCGCATTGGCACAATATCAGTTTCCTTTATTATGCAGACGTTACTCAGAACCAACACCTGTGAACAAACCACCATCAACACTGTCGACCTGCTGAATTGTCTTAATGACACCTGCATGTGGATGTCACAATATGTCCTGCAGCTCAATGCTGTTAGGTTAGAGATATTGTACATTAAGATCCCCCAAAGCTTACGGTCCTGCTTCAATAACTCAGCAGTGCAATCATGGGGTCATTTTCTAAACCTCAGTTTATTAAAGCATGTTAAATCAATGGTTAACTCCTGCGTTAATCATCTCAGAAACCTTTCAAGGAATAGACCATTTCTGTCTTCCACTAATCAGGAAACCATTCACAACCTTTTCAACGTAATTACATTGAAATAAATGCACTGAGTTTGATTCCAGTTACTGACTAAAGCAGCTGGATAATGGACCGCCTTTTATCTGATTATTTCAAAAGAATGACATAGTATTCATTATTTGCATTCTGTCAATCTGAACTAAAATAGCCTAAAGATAAAGATATAACAAGAGCATCAACCTCAATCTCCTATCATGTTTTGTAAAGGGTCTCAAGCTGGTGATGGTTTAGACATTTAAATAGTGACATACTTTGACATATGTGAAATTAGAACAATGGCCTTTGTGGAACTGCATCTCTATATGTCCTTACCTGGGGCCTTGCGGGTGAGTTAAAATAATAATTAACCTATAACAGTGGCCAGACGTTGCAACCCGAGGCTGTAAAAATGTGTTGCACAAATAAATTGTGTGACGTGAGAATTCACTGAACCGCGCTTCTAAACACGGGAGTGACGCGCACCCCGCATCTTGTTGTTGAGAAAACAAACATAAGCCGAAAGGGTCTTGACGTTATACTGTCCACCAAACCGTAATATCTGTGGCCCTCAGTCTCTTTAATGCGTGGCTCGGGAAATCCGAGTTGGAACAAATAAATCTTGTCTAAGGTCGTGAGAAACATGACCTTAAACATTCCAAACACTCATGTAAATAATAAGGATCTTCTGAGGAAAAAAAACACATTTACACTGCGAATTTAAATTATTTTGTTTTGTCAAATAGCCGTTGTTTTCTTTTAAATGGCGTAAATATTCGCGGATGGGGTTGAACTCACCTGTGCGCCCCGGCGCGTCTTCTCCTCTCCACTATCGGGTGGCGTGATGCGCGTCTCCGCCGGTATTCGCCAGGTCCAAATCAACTCTCTGGTTCCTTTCCCTGGCCGCTTGCAGGAGAATCCCCCTCACGCATGACTTTTCATCTTGAGGCATTTTCTCCATGTGTCAGCGCGCTCAGATCTCCGTTTGCAGAGGCGCAACAAGCAACATCTTCTGGGGTTTTGCTCGCTGCGCGCACGCACGGACGTTTCCCTCGTCCGACGAGGTTCCCCTCACGCAACTCATCGATGCGCCTCGACGCGCTGCCGGTATTTATGTGGAAAACATCACCCCGCCTTTGCGTGGAAAGGTCCCACCCATGGGTGGTTGTAATCCCATCACAGCACAGCACCAGTTTTTTAGGGGAAAAGCACACCTTTGATTCCTCTTTTCTTGTGTACAGAGCTTCCAGTGAACCATGAAGTGATACAAACTATTTGTTTGGCCTCTGTGTGGGAGAGCCAATAAAGAGAGGAATGAAAAGGGGACAGTTGGATGTTGATGGCGTATCCTTTATTGGCCCTGTTCGACCGGTCCCAACCGGACCAAATGTGAAGATGTATGAGATTTGTGAGTGTAAAGTAAACACTGTCACTTGGCGGTGCATGGAGGCTTGCCCTGCAGGGACAGTGGCATGTAGCGCTGCTTGAAGGATAATATGGCTCATTTACCAGCTCTTTTCCTCCAATCTGTACCAGCTCTCATTTTCAAGGTTAACGACGGCGTCAACAAAAGCTCTTTTGTCCATTCCCAACAAACTTGTGTCTGGCAGATAAACCTGTTTGTCCAAAATCGAAAAACAGTTCCTTAGAGGTCAAGAGAAAAAAAAAGCTGTTGACATTACAGAAGGAGCATCAAATGAAAACGTGTTCAACCAGACCAAAGTCCCTAAACAAAAGACTCCATGCGCTGTCCACCGTTACGCTTCACCTCCACGCCAGATGCCCTGCAGACTTTCTCCTTCCATTGCAGATCCTGCCGCTCTGCCTGGGAACCACCTCATCGCCCTCACCTGAGCGGCTCTCTACACCTCCACCTCCGCCCCTTACTCCATGTGAATACGCTGCGGCCCACAGTCAGTCTTTGGCTGCATTGCCTTTGCAGCCTCCCGTTGCCTGACGTCTGTGTTTTGGATTCCCTCGCTCCTCGTTGGAGCGAGAGACTAAACATCTGATAAACCATGGACCTGCCACACTGCGGATGGAACACGTTTCTTGCTTTTTCCAGAGCAGCTCATGCTATTTGCTACAGAGGCCGTTGAAGTTGTCCTTAAATGTCCTTTGTCGTGTTGCTTGTGTCTTTACATTATTACATTTGCTCCTATGATCTAGTTTCCTCGCTTAAATGATTTTCCTTTATGAAATAAAAAAACAAAACAAGCCGAGTGCAGAAATACATTGATGATACCTGCATGACGTGGACGTTTCATGCATGTTTAGACTAATCCGAATACTTGTTTCATGCTCTTTTTTGGTGAAAACATTTGCCACATTTTGGCGCCACGTGCATTGTTGTTTTAATTTCACTTCTGGCCTGTGTCTTCTGTTCCGTGTCACAGGTCCTTTCTTTTTCTTGCTCCGATGAGTCACCCTGGCTTCAAGCTATTTACGCGCGCCTCTCGCCTTTCCACATCTGGCTTCTTGTCTACCGGCCTGTGCAACGACTGTCCGGCTGATGACAAAAAGCTGGCGGGGATCGATCGGAGAACTCTCTTAAAGGTCACAGGATTGGGACCTCTGTGGGGTGTTTGTGGCCGACAGGAGCTCTCAACCAATCAATACTCCACCTTTGATGACCAGGACGAGGAAGAGCCTTGTGTGCGTCTGTTTCTGTATGTAGCGGTTGATTGAAGGAGAACGTCACGAATGAGATTACCCAGAGTGGCGACTCAGTGGCTGATGCTCTGCGTTTATGTCAGAAGATGAAACACTCTCACAATCAATCTGTCTCGGTGTGTCTTTAATTTATTTATAATGAGCCAGCCTATTGAAAAACTGAAAATAGCTGTTTTTATGCGGCAAACCAACGAGTCCACTTATTGACTTTCTTCATACGTTGTCAAATAAATTGATCGAGAAAGGATGAATTGACATCATGAAAGTTGTATTGGTTTGTTTTTGAAGCCAGTTAATTAAGCTGTTAATTTGCCCGCAGACTCCAGATGGAGCTGTTGAAGGCCGTGGACATAAAATAAGGAAAATATTGAGATGAACTCTGCTCATCGGATTAGAGCCTTAACACAATTTCACTTTCACTACTTGTACATCAAACAGGATGCGCGAAGAATAAAACCAAACTACCAAGTTTTTCACGGTTTCGCCTCTTCATCTGGGATTCTTTCAGGCAGTTTCTAGTCCCAGCTGGGATGCTCACTCAACACCGGTGTAAAATCTTTGATCAGGACATTTATTAAATAATGTTTGCAAACAGGAGACAAATTTGACACACATACAAGTCAGGCGTCAAGGCTACTCAAAGGTCTTCATCTTCGTAGCGGGAATATATAGTCGGAAGATGGAACATGCTAAAACATGGGGGGGGGGTGTCTGTGGGAAGAAACCAAGTGCCGGTAGTCAACCTCGGATGTAGACGATCATCTTTGGCACCACAAGGTCATAAACAGCAACGCACAAATATCTTGATTATCAGATGACCCAGAACACCGTGTACCTCTGTGCAGAAGAGCAGAGACTTTCTGTCGTCCGAGCTCTGTTGTTCTTACAGGATAGCGTCTTTCATTGACGACAGACTGAAGGTATAAACAAACGCCGGGATCAAAGATTCCGCGAACCTGTATTTGGTTCCAGCTGACGCCAGTTTACTACACAAATAAGACCTGGGATTTCCTGGTGAATATTATCCAGGAAACATTTCCCCTAATTTGGAGAACCTTAAAAAAAGGTGCTTCCCCTTGAGGGACAAATCAGAGTAGCCAATTAGGAAACACCAAAAGGCGATTTGAAAATCATAATAATCATAACTTGCCAAAGTTGACGTGAGAAGGAGTTTCCCTAAAAATACCTATAATTCAACATTAGCAACATTAGATAGATAGATAGATACTTTATTGATCCCTCAAGAGGGAAATTTTGTTATCGCAGCATGTACAGGGAAGAGTAGAATAAAAAGATACACATTATATACAATATAATATTAATATAATAATAAAAATATTAGGCTGTTTGCGGAAGTGAGCGTCAGCCTGCGTTTAACCCCCGTCTGCCGTAAAACGGCAGCTCAAAATGACCACTTCGGACGCTATGTGTGTGTGTGTGTGTGTGTGTGTGTGTGTTTGTGTGTTTGTGTGTTTGTTAGAGAAACAAAAAGTTGCCAGCGTAGCCAGATAAAAGGGTAAAGTGGCGCATGCTGAACATATACTGTATTACTGTAAACAAACCCAGGATTTTGCAGAGGATAAAAAAATCAAAACGTGCCTCGCTCAAATCCTCAGAAGAAGTTATGACCCTAAAAGGTGTTTCTGATTAAGACCGTGGAGACCAGGTGTGCTTCGTCTGAGCCGGTGACATTGGAAAGCAGCAGGAATAATTTAATAATCAGACAAACTGCAGAGACAACGTTACATTATTCTAGATTTCATTTAGTCAACGTTAAATGGAATGTTATTGTGATATGTTTATCGGCACCAAACCAGAGAACAGGAATGTCTGAATTTCTTTCCGTGATTATCTTTCCTGCTAGAAACACTGCGAAAGCACGAAAAAATGTTTCCATAAAAAGTATAATTTAAGAAAAAGTCAACTCAGAAAATCGAGCCGCTCAGAGACGGCATATTATTAAGATTCTGACACCAAGTTTCATCATTCAAAGTAGGAACATTAAAACACGGTTGAATTTCATACATGCAATTATGATTGGATTTAAATGTGTTTTTGAGCGTAAGACACATTTCAACATTTTTACAGGTTGTCGGTGATACTAAAACAAACCTGTGACTCTCAGCGTCAGCACTTTATAAGGCTTGGAGTTGTAGTTGAAATGATTTGTTTTTAAACAGCAGGACCATTTGGTGCACAGTGTTGTGTCACCTCTAAACGGAGACATGAACCGTGTGCCAAACAGTCATCATTTAAAATCTCCGAGGCTCTAAGCTGAAATAACATTATGGAAAAAGACTTTGGGATAAATCTCTCCAAACGTTGTCGTAAACTGGGCCTTGATCTTGTGTCATTCTCCGTGCAGAAGCAGTGAAATATCTGAACATAACCCGCTGTGTGACAATGAATATGTCAAACAGGTGCTCACGTGCATGAGAGACATGCTTCCCACACACACACACACACATACACACACAGACACACATTAGCATTATTAGATCCAGCAGCTGGGCCCCGGTCATTGGACGAGGATAACCGGGTTAGCTTGATTTGATTGTTGATTGTTTGACATCGGACTTGATTCAGTTATGCTACAAGAAATATGGGGGGCTCAAAATCCCTTTTTTCAAACCCAAACACGGTTATGTCTGTTGTTGCTGTTGTCTGCACATTAAACACACAGTTACAACTGTTAGCTACAAGCTGCTGGGTTAGCCGCCACTGTATCGAGAGCCAATTGAAATGCTCTAAACTGGTATGCAGTTCCTTTTTAAAGTCGTTATAGTTATGCTTTAGGAAGTGAATTTGTAGGTTACACAAATGCTTGTTCAAATGTACAGTGTATGTATTGACACTCTTGAAGTAGTTACAACTAATTTGTGCTTCTTTTCTTTCCTTTGATTGCTGCTCAGTTGAATTGAAGTTTATTAACAGATAAAAATGGCAAAAAGACCCCCTGAAAAGTGAAAGGAAGTCAGTGCGAGGGTGAGTGACTCAGCTTACAGCTCGTTATCTGCTGAGCTGCCCTCAGTGGATCGCCGCATGCAGCCAGACAAGAAATCACATCTCAGTGCCATCCGTATTAAACTGTGGATACAGTACTTGTATAATTACATCTGACATAAAGTCTTGTGATTCCAGTATCATTCAAACTGTGTTGAGAAAAAGCGCAGCTTGTTTCAGCTCAAAGTAAAAATACATTTGGAAAGCTTTAAAGATCATTCGACCACACTCTTAAACCAACGCACATGAGTGATAATACTCACGTATGCTTCTTTTTACGAGGTCTCAGACAGAGCCGAGTCTTAGAAAAGGACATTGCATAAGTAATACACCAAAAACGAGTGGGCTCAGTGAGAACACTACATTTTTTATATTGACCTTGATCTGGCTCACTTGTCACACATCCGTCTGGCCGGTAGCTGCAGCCCAGTTCGCCATGGCACTTCACCGCTGACACATCCAGGTTTTATGTGGAGCTTTTGTGACGAACACCCCCCTCCCCCCTCCGTCTATTGGAGCCCATTACATTTCCATTATCCAAAGACCACTTGTTAATGATTAATTATGAGTCTGACAGCTAGTAAATCTAATGTTATTACCGATTCTATACTTTTTTAAATTGCTTTTGGACTCATTTTCACAGCATTTATAAACTATATTTCAAAAAAGATTAAGAGTAGCATCATATTCTTAATAAATTCAGATCTTGACTCTTAACGGTCTGACTGAATATCAGAAAAAGTAATGAAAAGTTATTTTTCATTTACTTTATGTATTACTTTTTTTCAAGAAATACTTTTTTCCATGATAATGTTTGACCTAATATTCTTTTGACTTTTTTGTAACATGACAATTCGACCAAACATATTCAGGCTTTTTAAAGAAATATATTTTTTTACCTTTTATTTTTTTAACTTTATCCTTAGAACCTTTCTTTGACTTTTAAAACCATGTATTTTATTTTATTTTGACAGTTAAAAAATAAAAATAAAATTCAACTTAATTTTTTTCTACTTTTTTTTCTCCATGGTCTTTTCTTACTTCATTTCCCCCCCAAAAATGTGACTTTGGATTTTTGAAATGATGATGAATTTAACAACTATCAGCATGACTATTGACCTACAGCTACGGTTACATACACTTGTTTTATGGGCACTAAAAGCTCCTACTAGTGAATTGCATTGTTTTAATATACAGAACAATTTATTAATGTGAACTACTGGACCACACTTTGAAAATCACTTGTCTGGTGCATTTCTGTCCCCTCAGTAATCCAAATTAAAGTGGCCCTTATCTAACCGATACCGTTGAACTAAATGTGCACAGTCTTTCTGACTGACGTGAGAATAAAAGCTAAATCTCCTTTTGGCCGGAGCTCACTCACACAGATTGGTGTACCAGCGAGCACAATAGCAGCAGGATTACATGTGAGATTTGGGAGACACCTCTTTAAATTCCCAATTGGTTAAAAAAAGGAAAAGAATGTATTGACGTCATACTTTTTCTAGACGTCCATCCCGCTACGTCACTGACAGAGAATAGCAAACAACACCTTTTAACAAATCTAACTCCCAACGCTGCAGCTGACTGTTGATTAAAGCATTTATTTTTCATTTTTCTCACACGTGTTTCCTAAAGCTGTAAATCTCTCTTTCTTCCTCTTGTTCCATTTCTTCCTGTCTTACCTTTCGTTGGAGGCTTTGTTTGCCCTTCAGTGTTTGTGCATTTGCATTCATTCCTCAGCTCTTTAGAAGTATTTACTTTATCGCAAAGAAACACAGGACAGTGCTTTTTATGCCACTAGGATCAAAGCGACAGTACATTTACTAAACACTTGCACTTCTATGTTTGTTTATGCTACAATAAACACAAAACTACCACATTGCCGGTTAACTAGCTTCGTAACAAGATCTGCATGCTTAGAGGTGCAGGCAGATGCTATTATTTGTTACCTGATTATTTCCTGTCCAGGTGCGCTAACTTCTTCACTTGTTTAAGGCGTAGACATGAGTGCCCTTTCTAATTTGAAATGCATATTGAAAGACAAAAGTGAAAACACACTTGATTTGAAAATGACACTATAATAAACTGAGTATGAGCTCAGTTTATAGTGTACACTCTTTGATTACTCTTTCTGCATCAGGATCCAAAGTTCTGCCAGGCTATGTTTTATTTTTATGACAGTGATACAGTTTTAATCATTAACTAACTCAAATTATTTTCCAACGTACTGTGCTCCCAATGTTTCATTGTCGTATTAACTCAACGTTGAGAACACTTGGTGAAGAACATTAGCAGAATACAAACACATATATTACGTTACGCTTCCACAAAATGAATCGCTCTAAAAACAAGACAAAATTGCCAACAATTCAAACCCAGGACTCGGTCCCCGTTCGTACTGATAAGCAGCAGCTCACTGGCTCCTAACACAGAACACAAGGAGTATGGAGTAGGCAGTGTCCAGGGTGTAAACAATGACGTTGAGGATTGTCATGAAGGTGACCACCACCAGTTTATCCCAGGCACACAGGTGGCCACAGTTACTGGGTCTCTTGTTGCCACGGAGACTATAGAGGGGCCAGATCACCGTAGCAGTCAGATACATAACCGCCGCCAAAATGTTATAGACGATCACCAGCTTTTCAAAGGGGAACGGGAAAAAAGAGGCCAGCCGTCCAGCGGAGAGGATGATTACGAGGATGGCGAAGATGAAGCACAAGCAGTACACGGCCACGCACCACTGCAGTCCCGGTGAGCCGACGTACTGGCTGTTCTCCAGGGACGTGAAGATGAGACAGGCGAGGAACGCCTCCAACATCTTCATGATGCCGGGCAGCGACGAGAGGAACCCGCTGTTCTGCCCGCTCGGGCGCAGGCGGGTCAGAACCGCCTCGGCCGCGTAGAACCCGAAGCAGACCCAGGACACCACGGAGGCGCCGATCTGGCGGGGGCAGGCCTGGCAGGTGAAAAAGACGGGGTACATTATGGACACGGAGAGGCACATGAGGCTCGCCAGCAAGGCGAAGGCGGTGGTAAAGTCATCCCAGGCGAAGGGCAGTTTGGCGTGGACGCTTGTGAACTCCAGGACGAGAATGAGAAGAGTGAAGAAGAAGCAGAAGCACCAGGTGAACATGCACCACGCCCAGTAGGGGGAAGAAACGACGTGTCCCGCGGACGCCACCAGGCTGAAAGACACGCAGGTGAAGACGGTCGCCATTAATCGCACGACGCCCACCGGCTGGGTGAGCGCGCGTGGGTCGACGACGATCATGGCTGGACGGGGCGACAGGAAGATGTTCTCAAAGTCAGTTGGCTCTGCTCAGAGCACGTTCCCCAAACGAGATCCGGTTGGAGAGATCCATCGGGCCGCTGTGCTCTTCCGAAGTGAGACTGGAGGTGTGGTTGTGTGCCTTCAAACGGAGCATCCTGGGCTTATCTGACCACTTTATGGCTGCATTTCACTCCACGGATTGGATGCCGAGTCGAGTGTTATCGCGTTGGCCTCAGGACACACATGCTGGACTCTTGCCCTCTGGGCATACCTGATTCTCCATGACGAGAAGGGCAGGTCACATCCTGCGCACAATCACTCCTATCCTGCTTTGGATTTACTGCTTTTGGGTGGAGAGTTCAATTCATTGCACCAAAGAAGAAAAACATTTTTTATAAAATTACAAAAAAAGAAACTACAGTATACAACACAACAGAAGCAAATTATATATATTTTTTACACCACCTCTGTCTGTCCTTGATCTTGTGATTATTTTTTGCTCCCTATATCTATCCTCTATCTATCCTGAGTCTCCAATGTTACTTTTTTGAGAGCAGCAATACTTGGGCCGGTCAAAGTTCATCCCATGTTTAAACTAACATTAGCAAACCTGGCATTAATTCTGACCAATTATTCACTGGCTTTTGTTACGTTGTTAGAGAGAGGCTGAACTCACAAACTCTACTCTCGTTCCTTTCCTCATTAAACATGTTAACACAGGGGAGTGAATAGCGGCAGGGGAGTAGTGCAATCGTTGCCTATAGCAGTGTGTGTTTCAGGGTATGCACACTGTGACACACCTTTTGTAAATATGCTTTAAGAAGAATAGGAGCGGCTCCACGGTAACTGTAGTATAAAAGTATTAAACCAAGAAACATATCGCTATTATAAGGGATTGTAATTTATCACTGAAGTGCAGAAAAATAAATAGCGATGCTCGTGGTGAAGAGTGCAATATAAATCCAAACTTTTATTTAATTCTTTTGCAGTTTTTTGCAGGTTAAGAAAAATGTGCTGTAAAAAAACAACTAGCGAAGATGCTGGGATTAGATGTTAATAATTAGACGCAGTGTCATTTACTCTGAGAATACATGGTCTAAAGTGAGAAAAAAATCAACCACAGTGAAATATGTTCTACAAGACGTGCACAGGAAGTGCTTTACATACCATTCTCCTGCTCTCACGTAATCAAGTCCTTGTGGACTTATATGACACAGATTTGCAACTTAGCTTCTACTGATGAAGAACACCAGCCTAAAAGAATAAACCGTATCGGCCAAGTAAGTACCGAGGTTAAAAGAAGTCATGAACGTGATAACCACTAAATTATCCCAGGGACAAAGCAGATTCTGGCAGTAGCTCGGCCGGGGATTGTTCCTGAAGCTGTACAGAGGCCAGATGACCATAGCGGTGATGTACATCAACACTGCCAACACGTTGCAGACAGTCAGCACTTTGTCAAACGACGCGGGGAAGAGAGCCAGGAGGCGGCAGATGGTAAAAACGATGACCAGCAGGGCGAATATGAAGCAAATGGAGTACACCGCGACGCACCACTGGAGCCCCGGGAACCGCGAGAAGTGGTTGTAGTCCAAGCAGATGAAGATGATGCAGGCCACGAAGGCCTCCAGGACCTTGAGAAGGCCCGGGACCGTGGACAGGAATCCACTTATCTCACCCGGTTTAGCCCGGGTTAGCCCGACCTCCACAGCGTACAGGATGAACGCCAGGCAGGAAGTCACGGTTGCACCGATTTGCCTGCCGCAGGTAGAGCAAGTGAAGAAGACGGGATAGATGATGGACGCAGCCAGCACCTGTAGGAGTGAAACGTAAGTCTGTTACTTTCTCGCAGTTGATTGTACTTTGTGTGATCATGAGGATAATTGCGAACCATATTTTATTAGTCCTATTGCATCAGTTCAAAGTAGACCAGTACAGAGTACTTATATAGCTATATAGCGGAAAATTGTGGAAGACACACCTATTATATTCCATTAGGCCACGAGATTGCTGGGGCCACAGGCGGTCACGATTACCTTTTTATTGGGCATCAACTTTTATTGTTAAGAAAATAGACTTTGAGCCTAAACGAGTGCCGCAAGCGCGGGCGACGCCCATGAGACGCATGGGATGGAAATGCGAGCGCATCCGCTGTCTGAGGAGTGCGAGCAAAGCTCACGTGTGTTCTATTTGTATGTTGAATAAACTCAATCGATCAAATATTTGTAGACTCAGCTGATTCTAGTTACTCTGTCTCTTCATAGAATTTAGTGGTACACACAAAACAACATGAATATAATAAAGTTCCCCAACTTCAACACTGCAGAGCCTCTCAACAGCTACATCATTTCATTTTTTTGTGTGTTGATTTTGCTTTAAAAGTATTGTGTGATGTCTTGTGTGATTTAATTTTGCGTAGAATGTTTTTTGTTTTGTAAACTATTTCCCCGATGCCAGTTGCTCGTCGCCAATGTCTCCCACCAATAATCTGCCGCCAGTTTTTAACACGAAATACAAGGAGTCAAATAGGGTACGCACCATCAGAGTGGCCAACATGGCAAAGGCGGTGGTGAAGTCATCCCAGGAGATGGGCACCTTTTCGCTGAGGCTGGTGAGTTCCAGGACGAGTATGAGGATGGTGACGCAGAAGCAGAAGCACCAGGTGAACATGCACCACGTCCAGAAGGAATCTGTGCTGTGGCCCACCGACGCCACCAGGCTGAAGGAGATGCAGGTTAAGACCACCTCCAGTATCCGCACAACCAGCGTCCTGACGTCCAGGGTAACCATGGCGACTCTAGTCTTGCGGTTCTGCGTTTATCTAGATACCGATTCGGGTTGTCTCTCCTCACCAGCTTGTCTTTTTCAATCCTCGCTGATTTAAAGTATCTTTATATGTTCTTATGAAGAGCCGCTTGGTTCCCGTCAGTCCTCAGCTCTCATCCTGTGAGTGCCGCCCGCATGGTGAAAGGAAGAGAAATGTGAACACTTTGGCCTCTCCCTTTACGCCACACCTTTATTCTTCCCTATCAAACAGATCAAACATTGGATGTGCACGAACAAGGGGTGTTTGTGGAGGAGGGACGTCTGTCCGTACTTATCAGTTATGTGTCAATAAACGCATTCAGATATTCTAGCAGAATGAGCGGCTTCCCCTTTATGACGCACCCCTTTCAAAGTACTTCTCATCCGTCAAGTTTGACTAATTAGCTGCTCTCCCATATATCAATGGGTAGAGTCTGTTAATGTGTTACAGGCCGAAGAAGAATTGGGCCTGCAGCGGTAAAATGTGAGAAATACAGTTTAGGAGATGGCAGTATTGATGTATACTGAACTGAACTGAAACGCGGGCGTGAGATATTGCAACGGAAGATTAGGATATAGTTTTTTCTCAATCAATCAATTAATGAACTGTGAACCATACTGCCAATTATTACTATTTAATCCACAACTTTAAATCGCGTCTCATAGATCATCACATCTCACGTATCTGGTGTAAGAATGAAAGTAGTGATGAAAACTATATGAGAGCAACTAAACTATACTTTTACAATGCTATAACCTCAACTAGTACAGTATAAAAGACAGGCACGACTTATGCAGTTATTCCATTTAACTATAAATCAAAGATCTCTGTCTGTATGTCATTGGCTTCCCTCAAGAGCCCATCAACCAATCAACTTGCCCTATTATTGTGTATTATAGTGATACTTGTTGCTTTCTACATGGAAGTGTACATGAAAAGCACGCAGAGTACTGAAAACAAGACATTAACTCGACCCAGTAACCAAACTCCCACCCTTCATAGTTGCGGTATTCAAGGACACATCCATCAAATGTCCAGTTATGACTTAGGAGTAAAAGTTGGAAAGCATAAAGCTGGAGGGGGTTTGGTTTTGGCAGCCGCTGGGAAACATCTGGCACTATTTCCTCCTCTCTCCTGTGGGTCATGGGATAGAAAGTCAGCGGTGCAACGGTTGTAAAACAAAAATCAGTGTGTTGCTTAAGCAGCTCATATTTCTGCTGTTGAGCCATGCTGTCTCCCTCAAAAGTACACCTGCTGCAGCCGCAGAACCTGTTCATGTGTAAAAGCAATACGTAACCTGTGCTTTTAAGAACATTTTGTAATCATTTACCTCTATATATTGTACAGATTCTTCAACAATACATTGCTGAACCCGTAGTTGAGGTTATTTTACATAAACCACTAACACCCTCACTTCTTTGAAACCCTGATGCGTGTCAAACTAACAAAAACACACTTTCTGTCCTCTCCTGCTCGACAACTGTATGTCTGATTGGCCGTCCTGTCAATCAGCCCTCTCCCCTCCTCCTTCCCACCTTTGTGCCGCCTTCTCTGCAGTCGCTTATCTGCAGGAGCAGAAATGAAACAGAAATAAAAGATCTGAGACACAACGAATCCGATGAAAGGTGCAGAGAGACCGGAGCGGCCATCGGGGGGGGGGTCATTGAAGACGTATCCCTTTCTGTCACTGGTTTGAGTCCTCCAGAGTCAAACTGTGGTGTTTTCTGTATTCTACATTCCTGAATGCGCTCAGCATCGCATCAAGGCTCCACTTCTTTCTGTAAAACCTTAGTGTTACTCCACTCTGTACGACACGGAATCTACTTTTTTATTGAAGTACTTAAGTGGGAGTAAGTCTTAGGTGTGCGTGATGAAATCACCTACAAAAGCTATCAATTGTCCAACAACTTGACATTTCCAAAAACATTTTTAAAGTGATTTATAGTACTAAGAAAATAAAAAGACAGTTTAACATATTTTCAATCACATCAGCTTTCACCGTTGTTTTTTTTAAAATGTTTTTATTAGAGTTGCATGTGGAGCAAGTAACTGTTCATGGAGAATGATAAATAGCAATAATCACATGATAAAGAGCGACTTGTCAGTGGGTCAGAAGTCTTTGGGGCAGGAAGCATCATGGGTAACGTGGTGGGTTCTGGTATCCCTGAAATGACCTCACAATCTGCCCTCTGTGGGAAACAATGAACAAACCAAACATGCTCATAGTGCATATCTGCTGCCCTCTAGTGGGCATTCACCAGAAATAGCTATTCCCTCTGGATTTCCTTCCCATGTCAGCCCCCTTGAAGTGTGTTGCAATCCAGATGTGTCGGGTAACGTCCTCTGAGCTCTCGGTATCCTCTCCCGTCTCCTGACTCTCGTCTGGCGCGCGTTCTCATGCGTTCTTCACACTTCACAATTAAAGGACACTGACGAATAATCAGTATTTCCAAAAACGGGTCATGTTTTCTTGGAACTCGTATCCTTTTGTCAAACTTCCCACTGATGCGACCCATATGTAGCCCACATTTAAAGACCCTGCACATACGTTCTTCACCTTAAAAACGAGTCACTGTTGCTTCATTCATAAGACGTAGAAAAACTAAACTATCCTGAACAAAAAAACACGGCGTGTGAGTTGCATACAACGTGGTTGAAAGGATTTTAAACTGTAAAGAAAGTGGAGCAAAGGTTATTTTTGTGTGGAGGATGGGGGCTCTGACAGATGTTTGTGATCAAGCGAGTGAGAGCAGCGGAGCACAGAAAACAGAGGTGGGCCAACGGGAAACGAAACCGTTCTTCTTTAAGCACACAGTTTTTTAAGCAGGCCCTGTCAGAGTGTTCCTAAATACTGACCTACTAAATGTGTGCGCTCTGTGAGCTGCCAGAAACCGCCACGGATCCTTGATACAGCGCAAAGAATACTTTGTTCTCAGCAAAAACCCGTCTCTCTGCATCTCTGTTCGCTGACACATTCCTGACTCACTGATCGATATTTGAATATAATAGAACAAACATACTTATTCTGGCAATTTCCTTAAGACCCACCCAGTGACGTGGCGTAAAAGGGGGGGAGGAGGACTTAATGACTCCTGGACTGCAGATGCCTTTACACTAGGAACACAAGCAAGAAAACCGGAAATATCACCTCTATGTTTATTCCACCCGCCGCGGACTCCTCGTGACTTTCCCTCCCTCAGTACCAGGCTCCGTTAGAGACGGGGTGTAACTTTCTCTTTTATTTTGATGGGAAGAAAACAGGTATGTTTGTATAACTATCATCTGTAAAAGCTATTATCTGTATGATGTGGATGTAGACCTTGTACAGCGGATCCTATTATTTCATTACTGTTTATACAGATTCGGATCGTAGATGATCGTAAAAGCTTATTCCGACACATTGACCAAACAAAAGAAAGGGTGAGGCACAAGTGCATTGCTATGGTTGATCTAATTGATTTATCATGGATTTGTGAGGAGACCAGGAAGTGTAGCAGGGACTGGCTGGGGTTGTCGAGAGAGATAAGCATGAATTAGGGTGCCGCATTGTTCTGTTTTTCAAATGAAGCATTAAAGACGGTTGGTTTGCTTCACTGAAAGATGCTCTTAAGGATTTGGACAAGTACAGAGCTACATTAAACTTTTAAACTTGAGCTCTGTTGCTCCACTCATGAATGAACAAAACAACATATGTAGTTAGCTTATCAGATGCGATGCACTGTAAATGATTCTCCCAGCAGTGTTTTGTGACTCCCAAAGCTCCCACAGCTTCCTTTTTTTTTTTTTTTAAAGCAGAAGAAAAGTTAACACAGTACAATACCCACTTCATCAGACAGAAACATGCTGTAGGAAGTCCTGAAGCATTTATTGTAACTGCTAAATAGCCAAATATTTGTCTCACAAGATGGTGGAGTGAATATTGGATTTCCTGTTAACGAGACAAAGAGTGTTGCGGAGTTTCAGGTCAGTGTGGTGTGTAAAGAAGATGTGAAACTTGGTCAGAAGGTGTAAAAACACTAAGGAACAAGGCTTTTCTTCACATCCTCTTGCTGCTGTGAGCAATGAGTCAGAGCTGAGTTCAACCCAGCAGTCCAGCCTGATCATCTCTTAACAGTATTTTGTAGATATTAAAAAGTGGACACGTTGTGAGGTGTGACCGTTTGCTTCTACGTCTACATTTGCAAAAATCTATTTGCTAATTTCCAAATGATCCAAAGTTTGATGCAGGCTGGGTCACAATACAACATTTAGTTTTGCTCCAGTTTATAATAGCCTTTGCCATCGCCACGTCGCCATGTAATAAATAGTGTTCACAAACTGCAATGTCTTATATTTATAACTAAGCGTATAATAAAATTGTTCTTATTAACTTGTTCATGACACAAAGACAAATGTTAATACACATTTCTCACATGCAGTAAAGCTTCTGAAGATGGAAAAAGGAAATCCACCACAGGATTTAGCTCCACCGTACCCCGGCCCACCTATCAACTATGGAAGTGCAGTGCAGCAGCCGGGGACGTACCCTCAGCCGGGGACGTACCCTCAGCCGGGGATGTACCCGCAGCCGGGCTTCCCGTCCGCTGGGCCTCCGCCTGCTGTGTACCAGGGAGGTCTGTGTCCGACCCGGTCGACAAGCTGATTCTGTAACACCACGTGACACCATTCTCTTTCAAACAAATGGACCTTCATTTTCAAGCTGTGTGTGTACAACTATACCACGTACTTAAGAGTACTTTTAGCAAAGCCAGTTACTGTGATTTATAGATATCATTGTTTTGAACTGTCCTTTCCTGGTTTTTCTCTGACAGGCGTGCCCTACATTGTGGCCCCGGTTCCAACCACCTCCACAGGTTGGACTGTTGTTTTTACGCAACACAAATAGCATTTGAATGAGACAATGGAATTTTGCACAGGGTGCGGTAAATGAGTTGTCACTGTGTGTGTCTCCTGTGAACTAAGTACTATTGTGGCCTAAGTGTAAGTAGTAGTAGTATTAGTTTTCATGTCTAAAGCTGACAAAACACTTCTGTTACATTTTTGTCTTGTTTTGTTTAGAGTTTGTAAAGTCTTTCTAAGCCAAACGCTGGTGTTCATTACCAAACCTAAATGGACCTAAATAAGGTTTTAGGCTTCTCACATCGAAGGATGTGTCGCAATTCTCATACATTGATATCAATGTACTAATTACCATGACACAATGAGAAGGATCTGACCTCTAGTCTACCATAAAACCCTCTATGTTTGGATGCCTCAATTACATCAATTACAAGACGGAACAAAACCTCACTAGTAAGTTACAGTTGCTTTGCTATTGGCAGCCTCTGCTGGTCTTGCTGAGTGAGTGCAGTACGTATATTTTATCCTCAAACCTGGTAATGAAATCTCAAGCTGGAAAGTCTTCAATAACAACAGTAACACATATTATTAGAAAATTGTTTTTGCTTTTACCTATAAAATGAGAAGTGAGGAACAGGGAACTTCCCTTATTTTCTTTGCACAAGCTTTTAAAGTGAAAATGGAGAACCAAGAATATGACAATAGATCCTGAACTTATGCGTTGTGCGTTTCTCGTCCTCAGTGACTCACTTGGTTGTAACACCGGCGCTACAGGACGTCCCGGGACAAACTGTGTGTCCCCAGTGCCAGCAGACAGTGATGACGCACACAGAGCACACTGCCGGCCTGCTGACCTGGGCCATCTGTGGGGGCCTCGCCTTCTTTGGGTAAAGAATTGGTTTTGGTTAGAAACTTGTCTGGCTTCTATTTCATAAAAAAATAAAAATTAAGTTCACAATTCACTTGGTTTTCACCTACAGGTGTTTTCTCTGCTGTTTCATCCCGTTCTGCATTGATTCCTGTCAGGATGTGGAGCACCGCTGTCCTTCTTGCCAAAACGTCATCTACATATACAAGCGAATGTAAAATTGAGAATGAATGGAGGTAATTTCCTAATGCTTGTTTGTAGCCTCTGTTGCTCTACACTTTTTAATGTATTATTATACAAAATGTACTTATCCTATGTACTTATCTCCATTGTGTCACTCTTTCGCCCTATCATTAAATGCTTTTTATATGCATTGTACTGTATGTAAGTTATCCATCCATCATCACTCCACTTGCACGGAGGATTGCAGGGGGAGACAGGGTACAGGGATTGGTCGCCAGCCAAACACAGGGCCACACAGAGATAAACAACCATTCACACACACATTCACACACCTACGGGCAATTTAGAGCCCCCAATCAACCATGTTTTTCAACGTTAAAATATTCAACTACAAAAAATTCAACCGCAAATAATTCAACCGCAAAAATACAACTTCGGCTTGTCGACTATGATGACCGGATTTCAGCCATGTCCATTAATAATGGGGCTTCGTTGAGTGTTTTAACTTTATGCCATCCGTGGAGAGACAGCGAGATCCTCCTTGTGGGGGGAGGTGGGGATCGGGTGTGTTCCGCGGGGGGGGTCGGTGGTGTTTCGCGGCGATGTGTAATTCAGTGGCAACAGTGGCACTCAATGGCACAACTCGTGGCCACAGTGGCACATCAGTGGCAACAGTGGCACTCAGTGGCACTCAATGGCACAACTCGTGGCACTTAGTGGCCACAGTGGCACATCAGTGGCCACTCTGGCAATTCATTGGCAACCTGTTAGGCGTCCTCAAAGCGCCACTGGATATCCAAGCTGCCACAATAATACCTCTAGATGTCAGAGTTTATTCCAAAAATACTCTTTTTAAGGTTATTTTATTCGGTTATGTTTTCAATTAAAAGTGCTATTGGAACAGAAATTCAGTTGCACATGAAAGCATAAATATTATCCTAATCAATAGAGCTGAAGTTGTCATAAGTGCGACCATTAGAAGAATTAAATGAGACGCAGAGACTGTCAAGAAGGATATATATAAAATATATATAAAATATATATATATATATAATATATATATAAATATATATATATATATATAATATATATATATAATATATATATATATATTATATAAAATATATAATATATATATATATATATATATATTTTATATATATATGAAATAACACATGTAAACAAAAAGAACATTAACAATAAATAATATAAACATGTGAAAACAACCTGAAAATAAATTTCAAAAACTGAACAAGTCCCACTCTTTGAACAAAGCAATGACTTTGTAGCCCTTGTCAATAAACTGTGCCACAAACATTTGGTAGTCACTTCTGTACTGGAATTCCACGACAAAGACATTTATCGGTGCGTCTGCGTCGTCCTCATTTTCATCCATGGAGTTCTTAAGGTCTTGCAATGCTCGTAGCTGGTTGCCTCTGTCCTTGTTGGTAATTTCAGGCAAGGTTACCTTCCCCTTAAATGCATTTGTCTGCAACCACTTTGCTGCCAACAAGGTGTGTTCGAGCATTTTCATTTTGCCCTCATTCTGCATTTGAAGAAAAGGAGTATCATAAAAAAGGCATACATTTTAAATATATATATTTTTTAATTAACGTTGACTATAAAATATGAAACAATAAAAAAGCAATCCATTATATTTCAACAAGACTGTATACATATATATTCTATGTATCTAGCACAACAATTACCTGTTGGTCTTTCGCATCTGTGCCTGCAGTGCTGCTGGTTGGGCTATGCTTCACTGAACATAACGAGAATAAATCATCACATAACTTGCAGGATATACTTTTCTCTAAAAGATGAAAAGTCCAGTTATCCGAAGCAACTACATCATTTTATTATCACACATTTCTAAATTTATTAAAAAATGTAATTTATCTGTTGTTAATTGTTGTTGTAGAAATCCATAATTTCTTCATTCAACACATACTTAGCACCTAGCATACCTAGCACCTCTATTTATACAACCTTACTTAGAAATTAATTCACAAACAAACATTTACGTCATTCATTTCATTAACTTCACACTTAAAAAAAAAAACAGACCACAAATTGTCTGTCTCATAATTTTGCCTGCAGCAGCCTTCTTAAATAAAACCAAAATCCACTTCTTAATATTTGCTTTTTTGGGGGATAATCAATTTATATTTCATTTATTCAATACATTTAGAATTAGCCCCTATTTGTGTCTTTTTTATTATTAACAACAAATGTTAAATACAAATGGGGAAAAAGCTTCATACCCATGATGAAGCTTCATGGGATGTGTACAAAGGATTCATTAACATCAAAAGTGTTATTTTTCAAACCATATATTTACTACATATACAAACAGAAAATATGAAGATCATTCATTAATTACACAATGGCCATGACAAATTACCATTACAACCATTTATTTTAAAACATCACATGTAGTGTATATACAAACAAAAAAGAAAAAAATGAATATTGATTCAGTTTAGTGTTTTTTTTTTTAACTGTCCCTCCACAGAGGCACGGCTGCGGCTTTAACGGAGCGTGTGCAGACGCATAACCCCGACAGTACTTGCAGGTTATGCTGTTTACATGCACGACCATTGCATGTCCATAGTGATGGGGCTTCGGTGTGTTTTAACTCTATTATATGCCATCAGTGTGATTTGTGTCTGTAAGATTCAGTAATAGACAGCTGACATTTGTACATTGGACGTGAGCGGAAGTTAAACGAGATGACGTTCGGTTGTTTTTTAAGCTCTCAGTACGATGTCATATATTATATAGTATCATAAAAAAAACACCAAAAACACGAACATATCAGACATATACACATTATAGTGTGACAAAGGTGTATTGTCCCACACGACCTTACAGTTGTGAAGCAGAGATTGTGATCTGTCACTGAACTTTTAAAAAGTTCTTAAAAGTGAAGACAGTTGAGTAGAAGTTGTGATACTAGTAGTTAACGTCTGCACACGCTCCGCTAAAGCCGCTTCCCCCCCCACTACGCTGCAGCGGCTCCTATGCGCTCTACAAGCGCGTTCCTGGTTTCAAAACTCCGCCAATCACTCCTAATAGCTTGTCAAAGCATCCCAGCATCAGCTGTCTATTACTGAATCTTAGAGACACAAACCACACTGATGGCATGAAGTGAAAACACTCAACGAAGCCCCATTATTAATGGTCATGGCTGAAATCCGGTCATCATAGTCGACAAGCCGAAGTTGTATTGGGGCGCTCGCTCCTTTTGCTTGACGCACGCTCCCGATCTTGAATCTAGAATCGATTGCTCTTCCTTGGGTTCCCGGATGTTGCGGTTGAATTTTTTGAGGTTGAATTTTTGCGGTTGAGGGTATAGGAGGAGAATAATAATAAGGCCTCTTTAGACCAAATCTCACACTGATCTATAATGCCTGAAGAAGGCCCTTTGTCTACCTGCAGGACACTTGTTTTTCAAGCTCAGTCATTGGGTGGGACTCAGGTGATGGAGCAAATATGCAACATTATCTGCAGAGATCAGGGAGGCCAGTGCTGGCATGTTATTGAAGCCCAAAGCTCACTGTTATCCGTCAAATAAAAAGGAAAATGAAAGGATTCTAAAACTGTTAAAGCTGCGGAGCTTCTCACAATAATGTTCAAAGAACCAAACACCAAACAGGCATTAACAACTTTGTATTTCTCCGGATTCTGTTATTTAGTTCTGTGGTCACATAATCAGAATAGTGATTATCATTTGGTCATTGCAGTGAACCATCATTACTTTCTAAAGGCAAAGCAGTGGAGGTAAGATTGTTTTAAATATTATCAGTTATAATATTATAACCTTTGTAGCACAGTCCGCTTTTCATAGAAATAGTTTGCAACATGAACAAACTTCTTTTTTAAATGCTGCCTTACTGTCCGTTTGCAGACATGGGCGGAAGATTGACAAGATTTCAGGACATTGTTTGAACTCAAAAGAATAGGTTGCTATAGTCTACTTATCAAAAGTGGGGAGTGGTAAATAATATCCTGAATGTTGTCTAACATAGAAAAATACATTTGATGAATAAGATACAATCAAATCAAGATACAAATGACTGATTTGTGTTTTGGTTATATTACATCATTGTGGGCTATATTACATCATAATGTGCCCTCTACTTGTCAGCTTTGATTGAAGATTAGAGGAAAATATGATGGGGTGAGTGGTGTGTTTAACTCATGGTGCCTCTGGTGTTGTTGTTTTTTTAACTAACTTTTTGAAACTCAAACTGTACAACTGCACCAATTATTTGGTTGTGACTGCCTCTTGTACTCTCAATTTGTGCATGTGGTCAGTTTCAGTTTCATGGTGGTTTAATTTAATAGGTGCCTCTGGCAACAGTGGAGCTATGACAAAATATTAGTAACATGAATAAAACTGATAATAATGTTGAAGTGCAGTGAAAGGATTTGACATATAATCTTACCTTTTCTTTAATGAACAGCCAACAAGAGGAGGACCTGCAGTTTATGAAGGATCATTATTTTGATTTGCTTTGTTAATTTAGGTGGTAATGTCTGATGTTCCAGTTCCCTAGTAATCATTGATCTGGTAGAATAGAAGATCAAAACAAATAATTAAGTCTAGATGGGGCGTAATTTGATAGATAAACTTGTATTAGTCTACTGATTATCCATTGTTTTATTTCAATGTTTTACTGTGTATTGACACAGTGTGCTAGTACTGCTGTTTAGGTAAACCCACAATAAATAACATGAATAATGACATTTGTTTATAGGCTCCTTTTGTTGTATTCTAGTCCTATAATTTCTTGTAATGTAATACGTTATTACATTATATTGTATATTATGTGTTAAGGCAGCACAACAACACATCTTAAGAAAAATCCCAAAACTGCACCGGGGCATGAATCGACCAATTATTATTAAAAATTATATAAAAATTATAAAAATTGAAAATTACACATCTGCCACAGTGGCTGGTAAGCAAAAATGTTAATGTCAAGCTTCTAGGTTACGTAATCCTTTGACAAACGAAAGCAGGAAGCGAACGCCCACCAGCTTATGATTTTTTACTTCCTATTTTAGTTCTATGTGTTTCAGCGTCAATTTCTTCTTTCAGAGGAAATGTATTTGTTTGTTTTTTTACTTTTTGTTGATGTTAGGAAGTAGAAAGGCACCCTAGCGGTAGAAATTATGTCTGATCATAACTAGTGGCAGAATTATAGCTTATTAGATATTATATAATTATGTTAGATTAATATCCATATTAAGAATGAAATATAATACATATATAATATATATATATATATATATATATATATATATATATATATATATATATATGTATTGTGGCAATCCAGGGGGAGAGGGACCGGCTCCCTGCATAAAATAAGCGGCTCGGAGGCAGGAAGTGCAAAAACAAAAAGGGTCCTTTTAATATTAACGTCAAAATACAGGCCAAACTCAAGTAGAAGTAGCTCTCCAACGCGTAGGCAGTGACTCCAGTCTATTCCATGGCTCCTTCGTCCTTTGAGGGGTAGCGCAGAGAAACGGGGGTGAGTCCTGCCGTTATCTTGTCTCTGCTACTGGGTCTCTTCTGTTCTCCTCTTGAGTTGGTCTCACTCCCTACATGTATCCTGACATGTAATGTAATGTAATGTATCCTCCACCTCTAATTACCTGATCGCTCGCAGGTGTGACCAATGCCACGTTCCCAGTGGCTGCAGCACCTGCACAGGATAATATATCCCCTCTATTACCTCCCCCAATCAGAGCTTGGAGATCTGCCTCCTGTGTTTGGTTCCTCCCCCTGGTTCACCACAATATATATAACTGTACCAGAGGAAAGAGTCAGAAACTTCCTGAGAACCCTCTGTGTTGGTCATATTGGACGGGAGAGTCTCTATTTCACAAAATATTACACTATTCATAGCGCAATTCACTTTGTAACTGAACTTGTGACACAACTTCTCCAGTTAGAACCCAAATGGTGACAAGGTGAGTAGGGGGAGTGGTATTCCCGCCATGCAGATACTGTAGATGAATTTCGCTGAGGTCGTTATGTGGGGGAAAGGTTCAGGTTGCCAGGCAGGAGTGACGGGAATCCAGGGTGAATGAACTAGAGACAGAGTATGAAGAAATAGATAAGCACACAAACCACTACAAGAGGTGAACAGAGATAAATTCACTGTTGAGGCTGACACGGACCATCTGCCTTGTCGTCGTTGCTCGGCAACCGGAACAAACAGACACAGACAAACAGGAAAACATACTCAGGGAGCTGTGGTTGTGGCAACTTGCTTCTGTTAGTTTTTAAATAATTTTTGTGGTGGAAATTTGGGGATTCAGCCCTTGTGAGAAATCAAAAGTATCAGAGACTCGCTTATGATTAAGTATTTTACTAACTAGAATATAGGAAAAATCATAAGAATACAGAAATCATCAAGCCGTAAGTACAGACAGAAGTCAAATGACTACAATTCAGCTGAAAGGGGACAGAGGTTCCTTCCCCCAAAAGGAGCAGGAAGATCTGACCAAGTTAAAAAGAAGAACAAGAGGTTTTATACACTTAGAGGGGTTTGTGCTGCCTCAGGACAGGACAGCCCACCCCTCAAAGAGGAGTGTTGGAAAAGTACCAGATGATGTAGGGGTGACCCTCCCTTTATGGACCCAGACAATCAACAACATCTAAAAGGTCAGTCAGGGTACGTATGATTTCATCTGTGTCTTATTTCACCCTGGACTGTCTTAAGTCACTGGCTCACATCAAAGGTCACATTCCTGAGAGCCTCACCCTATGCAGGCTCAACAATTCTCCCCCAACAATTTTTGCCTGTTGATTAATTTGGATTTGCACCACCGGCGAAGGAAAAGTGAAAAATACGCTGGGCCTTTGTTCTGGGAAGAGGTTTTGACCAAACACCAGCTTGGCCATTGATTGGTTGCTAAATCATGACCAAGATTTAACCCAGATGTAAATTCTGTAGTATCACATCCTCCCTACTCTGTTATTACTACAACCCTGTTTCCTCTGCGCTCTGATGTCACTATGGGAGACAAAGACATGTAATGAATCAGTGAAAATTACTTACGATGTTAATGACTAACATTACATTGGTTCTGATTGAGTCTGAGACGTCTCGCCACCTGTTTACATCATTAAAACTAATTGACAGCCATCTAATTTCTCATTTCTTCTGAACTCATTACTGCTGCTGTGGTTCTTTGTGCATCAATCTGCACAAGAGGTTGTTTGATTCAGTCTGCATCATTTATACATGTGTAAATACTAATAAATAATCAAGGACTTTGTTTCCAAGCTGTCTCTGAACAAAAAAATAAAACAAATATTCCAAAATTTCAGGTGTATTTTTAGTAAAGCCAGTTACAGGTTATTAATAGACATCATTGTTCTGAACTGTGCTTTCCTGCTTTGGTAAACTGGTTCTTCTCGAATAGGTGGACCTTATGCTCCAGCCCCGACTGAAACTACCTCATCAGGTTGGACTTGCTTTTACGTAACACAAATAAGTTTTGAATGAGTCATTGCATGAAGTGGATGAATGTTCACTGTGTGTGTCTCTTGTGAATTAGATACCTTTGCCTAACATAAGCAAGTATTAGTTTTCATGCCTAAAGCTAAAACAGTACTTTTGTCATTTGGTAGTGTTTTTTCTTATGTATAGTTTTCCTGAACTATATTTCAAAGTGCAGTTTATACTGTATGTATGGAAACTTAATTATGTAGGAAACATGAGAACAGAGTGGAAATGCCTTAAACTTGTCAACAAAAAGAAAATATTGTTACGGCAGAATAAATCTTCATCGGTACATCTGTTTTAGTCTGCTGTTAAAGTAATACGTTATTGTTCATTTAGTCGGCCTTGGTGTGGTGGGGAATGCTTCCCTCATCCAACAACATATTTGTATGGTTGGTGAAAACAGCTGGCTTGACTCCTCCCCTAATTCTTTCACCTATAAGATTATAAAAAGGTACCTGTCTGCTCAACTTTTGGCCGTTGTTTAGCGTGGCTGAGGGTGTTTGGGGTTCTTGCTGTAATTTTAAATGTTGGCTGAGTATATTTTGTGTTGAGACTCCATTGCTGACCAGCCTACCTTGTTGTAGGGTCACAACATTAAAGCGTACAGCCAAAGTTGCTCAGTGGAGAGCAGTGTGCACCAACACATTTCTTCTTGCATTTAAACTAAATTATACCCAGTACCACTAACTGTTTAGCTGCAAGCTTATTTATTTTATTTATTATGGAATCATTCAGATCAGAACATTCAAACAAAAGTTTTTTGTTTCATTTTTTAGTAATTACTCAAAAGTATTTTCGGAACTTTAGTCAAAGTACAGTTTGTGCTCAATTAGACCGAGTAACCAGCAAGTAATTCATCAGTTTTGTTCTCATATACAGTACCAGTTTTATTATAGAATCAGGATTAAATTATACATTACTCTAATCATATCCTTCTCCTATTGTGAATGAAGTCACATTATTGTCTGTATCTGAAAGTGAAAGCATAAAGCCTAAAGTATATAAGAAGATTCTTCCTGCCGTCATTACTTGACACGACACTCTGCGGAGCCACAGATACAAAGGTGAGTGATTTCTATCATGTCTACCAACTATTTTGATGAGAAATGTCATTGTAGTGTATTATCATTTTTCTCCTGGTGTTCTTAAATATTCCACTGAAAGATGTAAATGACCTGTACATCCAGTGCTAGAAAAATTAGTGAATGAAACATTTTCCCTTCTAGCCCCAAGGAATGTTTGACTTACTTCTGTGTTTTTAATTCTTTATTACATTGCCTATTTCCTACTACGAGGCTTAACCTGTTACTCTTGTTAAGTCTAATATTCAATTTTGCTAAATCTCTCCAAAAATGAATATAATTACAGTATTTCATTTGAACCTTTATAGGTAGGTCTTTACTTGCCAATAATATATTTTAGGCATTAGCAACATTCATTCCCGAGGAAATTGTATTTAAATTCATTCACATTTACATTTTTGGTCTCCTTTTACAGCAATGGCAGGTACGTCTTGACCTGTCATAACTTCAGCACCTAAATATTTAATTTGTTGCAAAAGGTCTTTGAATGTTTAATTATGCCACCATTAACAAAAAAAACCTCTCTTTAGGATTTTTTAGTCAGCAATGGAAGAATATTACACAGTGAGTATGATTCATTGAAGTCTGTTCAAAGGTGATAAGTTGCAACATGTCTGAACTTACACTTTTTTATTATATATATATTATAAAAATATATTAGTAAATGATGTGTAATGTGTAAATGTTTCCTTACTGTCCTTTTGTAGCATGTTTGGAGGATCACCACAACCTGAACCTGAGAGTAAGATACTCAAAAAACATTGTTCAAAGTCAAAAGATTACTTTTCTGGTCTACATATCAAAAGTGTAAATAAAATCCTGAACGTTGTCCAACATACAAAAATACATTTGATCAAAAAGCTGTTTTGGTTATATTACATCATTGTGGGTTATATTACATCATAATGTGCCCTCTACTTGTCAGCTTTGATTGGAGAATGGAGAAAAATACGATGGGGGTGAGTGGTGTGTTTAACTCATGGTGCCCCTGGTGTTGTTGTTTTTTTTAACTAACTTTTTGAAACTCAAACTGTACAACTGCACCAATTATTTGGTTGTGACTGCCTCCTGTACTCTCAATTTGTGCATGTGGTCAGTTTCAGTTTCATGGTGGTTTAATTTAATAGGTGCCTCTGGCAACAGTGGAGCTATGACAAAATATTAGTAACATGAATAAAACTGATAATATTGTTGAAGTGCAGTGAAAGGATTTGACATATAATCTTACCTTTTCTTTAATGAACAGCCAACAAGAGGAGGACCTGCAGTTTATGAAGGATTATCAGCCTTACAACAAAGAAGTCAAACAGCTCAGAGTTCTGCTTCATGGACCAATTGGTTCTGGAAAGTCCAGCTTCATCAACTCTGTTGAAAGTGCTTTACGAGGCAAAGTCACTGGTCGAGCTTTGACAGATACAATCTCTGGAGAAAGCTTCACCATAAAAGTATGAATCCCTTTGGCCGTGGTTTAGCTGAGGTCGTATGTCATGTACCAGGGGTGCTGAGGTGCGGGCGGGGGACGCAGTCATTTTCAAGCGGCCGCTGCTGCCTGGATTAACGCTGTGGTTGAAAAGGTCTAACGTAGGGGTCCTCACACTTTTTCGGCTCGCAAGTTACTTTTCACTCAACTTTTCCAACTCATGGCAATGTACACCCCCTAGCACCCGCTCCCGCTCGGGTAGTTGGCCTGAATAATAATAACTACAATTAGTAGCGCAAACAAACAGAACAACAGTGCCGCATACCGGGAGCGTAAAACAAATTGATATTATTTAATATATATAGATATATATTTTCAATAGCAGGTGATCTGCGTTGGCGCACACCTGTCTAACGCATGTGCTCACTCACAGAGTGCGACCTCCCGGTTGACTTTTTAGGAATAGCAGCTACTTTTATAGAAAGGCAATTTATGTCTTTCTGTAATTCTCACAATAGCAAAGTCATCCGGCGGGCCGCACTGGACCCCCACGGCGGGCCTTGGGTTTGACACCTGTGTCATATACTGGAACACATCCTGAAATTAAACAATTCTTTCACCTATAGTTGATTTACTCACTTGTTGTGTTAACTTGTAAAGATATTTTTTGTACACACAATTTTAGCACTTTGAGCAGCTTGGGATGATATTATTGAGCATGAGATGAATTTCCGCACAGACATTTTTCAACAGATCTCATCATATCTTCTTTTTTCGGTTTTACAGCGTCATACCTACAAAATCAACAATGGACCAGGGACATTTTACCCTTTTGTCTTCACTGACCTCATGGGCATCGAGGGGTCAGAAACACAAGGAGTTTGTGTGGAAGACATCAAACTGGAAATGAAGGGACACATAAAAGATGGTTACACGGTGCAGTCTAATTAATTACTGACATCATTGAGTATTGTTAATGTATTTCAGTGAAACCATCCAGCTCTGCTACCAACAATTGTATTTATTTAAAGATATGTTTCAATAACTATTCACCCAAGTTATTTTTTTGATTAACATTATTTTTACAGTTCAATCCGTGCTCTGAAATAAAAGAGGATGATCCAAACTACAACAAGAGCCCCACCCTGGAGGACAGAGTTCATGTTCTGGTTTGTGTCATCGATGCCAGCACAAGAAGTATATTGAATACGGAATGTATTAGAAAGATGAGGCAGGTCAGACTTGCAGCTAGAGACTTGGGTAAGGTTTAGTTGTTGTTGTTCATAAAATTAATCAAATAACCTGTTAAACTCAAATCTGATCAAGTTGTATTAAACTTTGTATTGGCAGGGATTCCTCAGCTGGCTGTTCTCACCAAAATTGATAAAGCTTGTCCAGAGGTTGACTCCGATGTAAAGAACGTGTATAAGAGCAAGTACATAAAGGAAACGGTAGGTTTACATTTTTTAAGTTGGTAGAATGTTGTTATTAAATTTGGAAACATTTTTAAATTGATACACAAAAATAACCTATGAGTGGCATTTCTTATATGCAAAATATGTCCCTGTTAGGTAGACAAAGTGAGTGCGGAGCTGGGCTTTCCACCGAGGGGCATCTTTCTTGTGAGGAACTACGACTCAGATATTGAAAAAAATGATGAGATCAATACACTGATCCTGAGTGCACTGAAACGGATCATTGACTCTGGAGAGGACTTTGTCAACAACCCGTAGACCTAAAATACTGCTGAGGCCAATTTTGCTTTTTAAATAGTCTTTTTGTGGGTTTTATTATTAGATTAAATGAGACTTCTAATAGTTGCTTAAAGTATGTTGGGGTGTATCACCCTCACTACATATTAGTTTTTGCATCATTATTTTGATAGTTGCTTTGTTAATTTAGGTGGTAATGTCTGATGTTCCAGTTCCCTAGTAATCATTGATCTGGTAGAATAGAAGATCAAAAGAAATAATTAAGTCTAGATGGGCGTAATTTGATAGTTAAACTTGTATTAGTCTACTGATTATCCATTGTTTTATTTCAATGTTTTACTGTGTATTGACACAGTGTGCTAGTACTGCTGTTTAGGTAAACCCACAATAAATAACATGAATAATGACATTTGTTTATAGGCTCCTTTTGTTGTATTCTAGTCCTATAATTTCTTGTAATGTAATACGTTATTACATTATATTGTATATTATGTGTTAAGGCAGCACAACAACACATCTTAAGAAAAATCCCAAAACTGCACCGGGGCATGAATCGACCAATTATTATTAAAAATTATATAAAAATTATAAAAATTGAAAATTACACATCTGCCACAGTGGCTGGTAAGCAAAAATGTTAATGTCAAGCTTCTAGGTTACGTAATCCTTTGACAAACGAAAGCAGGAAGCGAACGCCCACCAGCTTATGATTTTTTACTTCCTATTTTAGTTCTATGTGTTTCAGCGTCAATTTCTTCTTTCAGAGGAAATGTATTTTTGTTTGTTTTTTTACTTTTTGTTGATGTTAGGAAGTAGAAAGGCACCCTAGCGGTAGAAATTATGTCTGATCATAACTAGTGGCAGAATTATAGCTTATTAGATATTATATAATTATGTTAGATTAATATCCATATTAAGAATGAAATATAATACATATATATATATATATATATATATATATATTGTGGCAATCCAGGGGGAGAGGGACCGGCTCCCTGCATAAAATAAGCGGCTCGGAGGCAGGAAGTGCAAAAACAAAAAGGGTCCTTTTAATATTAACGTCAAAATACAGGCCAAACTCAAGTAGAAGTAGCTCTCCAACGCGTAGGCAGTGACTCCAGTCTATTCCATGGCTCCTTCGTCCTTTGAGGGGTAGCGCAGAGAAACGGGGGTGAGTCCTGCCGTTATCTTGTCTCTGCTACTGGGTCTCTTCTGTTCTCCTCTTGAGTTGGTCTCACTCCCTACATGTATCCTCCACCTCTAATTACCTGATCGCTCGCAGGTGTGACCAATGCCACGTTCCCAGTGGCTGCAGCACCTGCACAGGATAATATATCCCCTCTATTACCTCCCCCAATCAGAGCTTGGAGATCTGGCTTTCCACCGAGGGGCATCTTTCTTGTGAGGAACTACGACTCAGATATTGAAAAAAATGATGAGATCAATACACTGATCCTGAGTGCACTGAAACGGATCATTGACTCTGGAGAGGACTTTGTCAACAACCCGTAGACCTAAAATACTGCTGAGGCCAATTTTGCTTTTTAAATAGTCTTTTTGTGGGTTTTATTATTAGATTAAATGAGACTTCTAATAGTTGCTTAAAGTATGTTGGGGTGTATCACCCTCACTACATATTAGTTTTTGCATCATTATTTTGATAGTTGCTTTGTTAATTTAGGTGGTAATGTCTGATGTTCCAGTTCCCTAGTAATCATTGATCTGGTAGAATAGAAGATCAAAACAAATAATTAAGTCTAGATGGGCGTAATTTGATAGTTAAACTTGTATTAGTCTACTGATTATCCATTGTTTTATTTCAATGTTTTACTGTGTATTGACACAGTGTGCT